GTAATAATAAAATAAATTATAAATCATAAATAAACAAAAAATGAGTTTTATTAGTTTTGAATTTTTTAATTGATTTTGCTGATTGTTAACCAATTTTAAGCTGATTTATGCTGAATTTTGACTAATTTTTAACATAAATGCTGATTGATAACCGATTTTCTATTTATTCAAAATGCTGATTTTTTGGTAATGTTCAGTAGAATTAGACTATATTTTGGCTTACTTTCAGTACTTTAAGTGTGACGATTTGTATTATTTTGTTTAGTGATATATCAAATAACTACAAAATTGTTAATGTTGAATGTTTTTTTGTATGACATGAAAATGAGCAACTTCAGTTATAACTAAAAATGGTAATTATTTTGGTAATGATCAGCAGAAATTAGATTATATTTCAGCCAACATTCGGTACTTTAAAAAAATGTCGAAATGGATTATTTCGACTAGTATAAAAAAAAACTCTTTCTTCTTGTTGGATTTTTTCCAAGAATTTTTATTTTAAAAAAGTGTTCGTTTAACGGTGATCACAGCTTAGCCTGGAAACAAAACAAAAAACCTCATCTTTCAGAAATATTTCTTTTTTTGTTTCCCATATCCTTCTTCACATAAAAATTTTCGAAATTGTATAAACAGTGTTGTTTTTTGTTAAAATATTTTTCTTTACCTCTTTTCGAAAATTTTTTTCTCTTTTTCTTTTTAGCTTACAAAAAGTGGACATTAAAGGATATTCAAAATGACAATCATAATCAATATACTTTAGATAAACAAATTTCACGTGATGATTCCCTTTCCCTTTCTAAATAATATACTCTCTTTTTATTATCATCTATCTTTCTGCAGATTCTTTGTCGTCAATGATCATGTGCAAATTCAGCATTATATCTACTTTGGTATCTCCAGATGAAATCTATTTGAAGTGATGATAGATACCACTTGGTGTGATATTTTTGTTTGTCTTCACGATTTTGAAATAGAATCACAGTTTTCTTTTGTTATCAAGATTTTTACTCAGTGTAAGTTCACTTCATCTAGATCCATGCCTTCCTGATAACCAGGTAAAGGGTATAGGTTACTACCTGTAGATGTCTTGTAGATTTTTCATAGTGGATTCCATTTAATATTTTTTCCGTACTTATGAATTTATAAGTATGAAGAGCCTTTATTTAGACCTAGTTACTTGAGTGCACCTTCTTCTGCTGGGTGATTGCTTTAAGTTAGAATTGACTGACTTTAGCTAGGACTTATAAAATTGTTTTTGGTTGTTTATAAATTTCTATTTATACCAATTCCCTACTTCGAATGTTATTTTTAGTATTAGAATTTTCTTTTGAGGAAAGTTAGAGACTGAGAAATATTTAGAAATTAGATGCTTTCTGACACTTTATTTCCACCCCCTTTGAGGTGTGGCAGTGATCAGTCGACTCAAACGAGTTTAGAAATAGAACCACAAGAATAAGTTGCGTATTTTAGTATTTTTTTTAGATTTTTTCTTCAATTTACAATACAAATAAAATACTGCAGCTGGACTGCATCATTATAACTTTTAGATTTTTGTCACAGAACTCTTATTTTGGTCTATATTAAATAAATTAAAAATATTATCAATAAAATAATTATTAATTAAATGCAAAGAATTCTTGGATTACTAATTAAAAAATGTTTGGTTAACAAGTCAGTCAAAATTGGTCAAAATTGATCAATTAAAAACCTTTGATGAATTGAAATTGATCACAATTATGAACAGTTATGATAATAACTATTAGCATTCCTAGTATCAATATATTTAATATGATTATTTTTTAACTTTAATTGAAATAATATTTGATTTTACTAAGTAACTTTTTAATTAATAAACTTGAAATATGAACTGTTAGCATTCAGTTAATATGGTATAAGAAAACTAATTTACAGTTATTCTAATTTGAAAGGCTGATGATATAAAACTTTCTCATTTTGTAATTTTCAAAATATTGATTTAATGAAAAAATACGTATATTATTATATTTGAAGGATTAAAATTTATTTACAATCTTTAAATGTATTAATTAATAAATCATTTAAAAATTATTTCAAAATATATTTTAAATTACAATATTTAAAAAAATTGAAAAATTTTAATTCTAAATAAATTAATATTATGAGAAAATATTAAAATAATTGGATGGCTGAATTTGCAAGGAAATCAACACTTGCTAGTAGAATTGTTATATACTTCATAGAATGCAATTTATATTCAAAGATTTTTTAAATGTTGTAGGATTTCTAATAATAGCATGGAACTAAAAATGAAGTAATTTTTGATTTTAATCTCTTGAAAAACAAATCAATCTAATAATGAAATACAAGAATTTAATATTAATAAAGATAATATTGTATCGAAAACCAATATTATAAGGATTCAATTTATAATAATGTATGGTTTAAAAAATGCGTAATGAGATATGATATAAAGTATAATAAATAATATGATTATATGATCATAAATCATTTTGACATAATTAAAATCGGTATTATGATGATCGCAATCAACTATCGTTTGATAACCAATTAAAATTTTTTCTAATTACATGTTCTACCTGTATGCCCGCTCAATAATTGAATCGATACGTGATTGATTACTTGCTCCGGACTTAACAACGTTCTGTATTCCCTAGTTATAAATTATAATAAAATTTGATTTGTTTATTAAAACAATAGAACAGGAGATTTTATTTCATGCAACGATTGCAATGTACTTAAAGGTTTATTTTTATTAATTAGTACTAATACTATTTGCTAAGACTGGAAATAAGTACAAGTAAACATGGAAAGGGAAATAATTTAATTCCCAAATACCTTATACCTTACCCTAGTTGCCGATTATCTTACACAAAAAAAATACGTATCAAGTGTTAATTTCTATGTGGCAAACCAAAAGAATGGTTTAACCATAACAAAAGATATTATCTAGTATCTATGCCGAAATCAAATATCCAGCCATTGTTAAACCTTCACTAAACTAAATATGCCTTCTAACCTACCATACGACCAAGATTTCTATTTTAATGTAATCTTCTAAGGTTATATTTTTCATAATAAACCTGGCAGTGTTGTACACGGACGTTGTCCCGGTGATTTTTTGCGGACACGAAAGTCCATGTCCGGGACTGTGTCCGCAGGACAGACCAATAGATATCTTTTGACCAACATTAATGCGGACAAAAAGTCACGGACAGTCCGGTCATGTCCGTGTGATCGGCTATAAAATCACATCATATGATCCGAAAGGAAATTTTAATAGCCGACCTTTTCTGGATTGTGTTACATACAATGTTTCACATTATCTTGCGGCTCGATTTGATAAATAGTTCATGCACGCCAACCGTTATTATAATTTCCTTTTTCGTAAAAAAGTCTTGCATATAATGCAAAATATTTGGAATAAGTAAAATTAAAAAACATTTTTATAACCCTTATATGATTGGCAAGTTGTATAATTACACATTTGAAATGAGGATATCGATTTGTTTTCGACATCTACTGCTCTTTGTGTAATATTAAAAGTGACACTTCAAACTAGATTTATAAAACTTTAAATTCATGATGTTTTGTCCAATTAAAGAAAATATAACGATCGATCTTTTATGGTGAGTAAGATTTTTTGCTTTGTTTACCGTTTTTAGTTACGAATTTAATTTATTTTTTATTTATTCATGAATTATGAAGATAGTCTTTGAGTAAATAAATTTTTGTCACTTTAATGATTTATGCCGATGGAACTTTGTAACTATAAAGGTTAATTTGGATATACAAGACAACAATATTGAAGTAGGATTGCTGAACCCTATAGGATGGAGTTTTTATTCACTGTAACGAAAATTAGTTAATCAGTAAAGTTATTTACAAACAATTTATTATAACAAATTTTTAAATATATGCTATTCATTATGATGCATAAGTTTACTAAGTTTACTTATTAATAAAAAAAAATTTTTTTTTCATATTGTATGAATATTTCATGATTATCCCGATTTTTTGATTTTGATATTTTACATAAGTATATCGAGATTTGACCATATTTAGGTCGATTTATAAAAATGTTTAATATTAATTATATTATACCGGTAAATTAACAAATTAAGGAGATGGATCATAGTAAATCAATAAATCAATTTAGTTGTCATAATGCGTTACACTCATTTTATACTATATTGTTTACACAATACTTTTTCCATAATATTAAGCTTTATGTTATGTAAAACGTCTATTTTATAGAAAATCTTCAGGATATTTTATTACTTTAAGTATTTAAACATAACAAATTAAAAATTTGTTTATAAACAAAATTAACTAATATTCTTTTAATAAATAAGATTCCTCTTTTTTTATCTTGTTTTTTTTTCTTGCTTTGATTGATATCATTAATAATTTTTCACTTATTGTATATATAAATAAGTCAAGTTGGAAGAAAATTTTTTCAGTAAAAATAAAATTAAAATAATTCAAAAAATTAAATAATACATAATTTTACACACAAAATGCAAATGCGTTTTAATCAAAATAGACTTTCTAATGTTCTTACTCCTATAATTATTAGCGGTAGATCAAAGAAGCAAAGTCGGCAAAGTAAACAGTAAAATACAATCGAGTACATCAAAGATCACATTGATCAGAAATTTTTCAACGGAATATCGGTTGTTTATTATTGCATTTTAGGGTTTTCGGATATTTGGGTGATCGGCTATTACGGAATATAGTGATCCGTAAGGTGATTTTAATCCAATGAAAAAATTCGAATATTCGAGTTCATAAACGATAATTTCGGATATTCGAAATGATTTTCGGATATTTTGAAACGGCATTTTATTTTAATAATTATCTCAAATTTGCTAAAAGGAAATCCAGATCCTGATCGTCCTAACAATATTCCCATATTGAGTTTCTTTGCCGGAATATCTATAACGATAAAAATAATAGCGATAGCTTAAAAATTATGTATTAAGGAAAGATTCGACATTTGATCGTCATGCTTTATCTTCTGAATATTTATTTATTAAGAAAGTTCTACTTTAGATATTGAAGATTATAAAGTAAATGTTAAATTTTCATTAAAGTATTTTCTTATACGGTATATACAAAATATTGATTTAGAAATTTATCCTTATGATAATTAACAATTAGATATAAATGAAACGAAAGATTTATATGCTTTATCATGACATATGTCATATAAGTCCAAGAAATTTCTTAGTACAAGGCCATGTACAAGATCATACTTCCAAGAAAGAGTTTTACCAGAATCAATAATGCGTTGTTATTTGTTCAGGTCTGCATTGAAATTACCCATGATGATAACGTGAAAACCAGAGTGTAATCTATTATCTATGAGGTGCTTTAACTATTTATAATTCTTTATGTTCGAATTCAATAAAGTGAAATCCCAATTTATACACTGCAGGTTGGAACCGGTTCTTGATTACAAATCAGGAAGGCCGCGTGGATTTTATTTATTAATTTATTTATTTCCTTTGATGCCTTTGATGAACGATCATATTTTAATAAGTACTTTTGGAGTGTCATATTAAGGGGCTAGATACGTTGCGAGCAGCAAGTACAGTACCTGCTTCGTTACTAAAAAAAAAAAGTCTTTCTTCATCCGAATGCTTAAACAAAGTATTTGTACAATGGACAGACAACGACTTGAAAACCATCTCTTAAAAAAAAAAAAAAAAAAAAAAAAAAAAATAGTAATTCCGTCAAATGGTCATGCCAATTTACGCCAATATGCGTCTGAAATTATACTAATGATGGGTAATTTAAATAAAAGAAAATAAGAATGGAGCGTGGGCATTATTAATTAGTCGATAATTTACACAAAAATTGGTTCTTTCATTTTTGTCCAATTTTAGTAATTAAATTTTTTTAAACATGATTTAAACTTGTTTAGCCAATACATATGATCTACTAGCCAAATTATATGATGGTAAACATGCTTAGAGGATTTATTTAATTGTAAAAATCGGAACTTATTATAACTGGTTCCTTTAACCTAACCAAACTATTATTTGTACAATAAAAGGGTTTCGTTCACCGGAGGTTTGCTAGGATTATATAATTCCTAGAAGATCTCATCTTTTTAGTTTTTTTTAGTAAGACCATTATATAATCCAATTCATTCATAATGTTTCGTTTGTTTTTTAGAATTCTTGGGAGAAATCTATTAAACTTAAAAATTTTTCAAAGATATTCTAATTGATAAAATGGACAAAATTACTTGTTCAAAATACAATCAGTTCGGATTTTATTAAATTGTAAATCATTATCTTTTATTATCTAGCCTCGATCGGATTTAACAAAACCAACCAATTGCGTAACTAGTCTAGTCCAAACCGAGAATATAATCGAATTAATGTAAATTATATCAATTTTTGATAACAGTTCAAGGAGGTTAAATAAACCTGTAAAACCGGATATTCCGGCTTGCCGAATTTGTTACTTTACATTATTTATTTAATCGACCTTTATGGAAATATTGTTCATACAGAATTAATTCAATTAAGGTACAAAATTATAGTGTTACGTAATCTTTATGACCATTGATCGACATGAAAATACATTGAACCGAAACTAATCAATGATCGAGATGGTCTTAATATTTTAAATGATCGAAATCATATCACAATTTTAATATTAAAAAAATAAAAATGTAAGATCTCGAATAATAAATTACCACGTGAATATACGAATCCAATGAGATAACATTTCAAGAAGATAACATTCATCCATTTTGGATATGCCAATCTCCAGATAGTCGCGATTGAGGAATTACAGCATATTCTAAAAATAAAGGGCCCGGATTTCGCAAAATAGATGAATGTTATCATTGGATTCGTTTACTCTCGAGAATCGAAATGATTAAATCATAAGAAGTGGTGCAATATTGACCGAGATAGTACATTATTATTATTTTTTTTAATATGAAAATCATGTGATATGATGACTTCGATTTCGACCATTCTACCAAATATTACAATGTTAGTTTACAATAAATAATAATAATAATAATAAAGTTATAAATACTTTTTTTGGTTGTATTTATAATAAAAAAACCTGATTTCACTTATTTTTAACATTCGGATGTCTTCCGATAGCTATTTTAGGTGAGATATAGCACCAACATTGTTCGATGGACAAGGATTCGATGTTCAGCAAGAAATTTGATAAATAAAAAAAAATCCGAAAATATTGAAATAATAATTTCAAGCGAAGGCGATGAATTTATTTAAAGAAAAGAAATTAAAAAATGTAATTGTTCTGATTGAACTTTGCATCAAAGATTATAATTTACATTTTCTGACACTTTTTTTTTTTATTTAAACTTATTAAACTAAAACTAAAATGATTTGCATTAATAGGAAGCTTTGTAATCAAGTTTTTTTTATTTAAATATTTAATCTACAATATCTAGTTTTTTTTTTTGGTCTTGCGGAATTAAGTATGGGGGTTATGCGGTAAGCTGATCATCAGATTCAATATATCCACTAAATATGGAATTGATCGGTCGATTCATCGTCAATAATGTTCAAACTTTCAAAATATATATTATAAGAACCCCTGAACGCAAAAATATAACGTGTGACATTGTTCGATTCATGCATAAAATTTTTTTAAAAGACATTTTGAACAAAGCAAAAAAATAGTTTCAAGATTTCAACAAAAAAAAAAAAATTGAAATACAGTGCGACCGTAAGATATTGAACTCCAATATTTTAATACAATAAATGTGTCTCCCGCGTAAAAAAATTAGTAATTTATTTTATATATATCCAGATGATCTTTTTACAGTCCTCTTAAAAATAAACAGGTTGATAAAATACTTGTTTTTTAGCGTGCTCCTTTTTACTTTTAATTACAATTAGTGTAACTACGATATCTTTTATAAATAAAAAAATAAATAAAAAATTTAATTAAAATGAAAAATAAAATTTTATTTTTTTCATTGTTAATTAATTCTTTTTCGTCATTTGTACCTAATTATTCCGTTAATAAATTTATCACTCATTTTCTTTATAAATACATTGAGTTGGAAGTAAATTTTCAAAAAAAAGTAAAGACAACAAAAAAATAAAAAAGAATTCAAAAAAAAGAATTTCATATTTTTTATACACAAAATGCCCACGCGTTCGGATCAAAATATTCTATCCAACTTTATTGTTCCTATAAATATTAACAGTAGAGCGCAGCAAATTCGACGACAAAATGCAAATAGAAGAGTGCATCATAGAAAAGTTTATAATGCGTCTTTGATCGATCAAGACACTTTGAATAGAATATTGAATATTCCTCCTATACAAACGACAGATAATCAATTGATAAATGAATTTTTCAACGGAACGTCTTTTGACTAATCAAACAATCGGCGAATTAGCAACTTTTTTTAATTATATTTATTTATACCTTTACTTCGAACAGAAAATATTTAATTAAGATTATTTAATTTATTACTCTTTTAGAAAAAAATTTTTAATTACACTATAATTTCCCTAATTATTTCCCTAATTTATGAAATATTTTTGTTTCTCTGCATTATACACAAATTTTAATCTGGTCTGATAACTTTAATTATGAAAATTATTGATTAAATCAAATGAGTTGAGAAACATCTATGACTATGGTTATTTATATGTTTTCAAATATCTTTTGAATCAAGTATTCTAAGACACACATTATGTAGTAAGAAAAGAAAATATTGTATTAAATTTTTAATATTAGCAGAAGACAAGGATGTATTTCAAACTTTATCCTCATGTAATTTTCATCTGAATTGTATTTGATATTTAAATTTTGAAAGGTTTTATAATAAAATTATACGTTTTTTTAATATAAACTTTTTCTTATCTAAAAAAAAAAATATAAAATATTGATTTTAAAATTTCATAACAATATCATGCCAAATTTGTGGAGAATTTGATAAACCGAACATCTAACCTAACGATTAAAAGATCTTTAATGGTATCAGATCAAAAAAAAAAGGTCGTTTTTTTAATTTACAATATTTATTTATTTATTTATTTTTATGAAAAATTTTCTTTACTTTAATTTTTGGCGTTTACTTAGTCGATAATATTTGATCTAAAACCATATCGGTATTAATATTCCTAAAAAAATTTCATTATGTAATTGTAAACAAAGAAAATGACAGTTTAGAATAGTTTTATTTTTTGATACTATAAAATGGAGGGTATTAGACTCGTGTTTTCAAAAAAAAAAAATGGCGTCCTTAATCCTTTTTTAAGAACTTCCGGAATGCGTGACAGGTTACACAGAATATATGGTTAAATGCATGTATCGCATGTTGCGGTTGTCAAATTTTACAACAAACCCATCATTTGATGTTTTTAAGCAGATTAAGTAGACATGCAGCGCGAGCAGAAAACGCCTGTGAAACATGTACCGACCATTCTATCAAAAAAAGTATTTTGAAGTATAATATTTTCAGCTTTGTTTAACGCATTTTTCAAATTCCACAAGAACTTTATTTTTATTGAATTAGCTGGCAAGCAATTTAAGTTTTGTCTAACAATAATTTAAAAGTTATTGTCATAGCCTTTAAATTTAGATAGTCATTTAATTTGTAAAATTTAAAATTCCAGTCGAAATAACCATGTTTCTATGACTATATAGCATGCCTGAAGTTGTTGGCGTATATAGTAACGCCACTCATATGATATTGGAGGTATCAAAAAAGCTCGTGTTATTTGATTATATATGTATAATGTGGCCCTAATGCCACATCTGTTACAAATAACGAGTGACAAATAGGATTTCACATCTAAAAAAAGTGTTCCCAGATTAATGAAACGTGCATGGTGGGACGTGGCGTGGCAGATTATTATATAAGTCATATGACCCGAACTATTTTTATGGGAATTTTACGAAGAGGTTTTTTCTTAACTCCAAAAAAACTAAGTCGCTGAAATACTGAAAGCGGTTGGGTGTGGCATAGATGACAAATAAATGCGAAGCCACAGATTTTATATTTATTATGTGACGTCATGATCAGATAATATACAGGCGTGTTTCCATAACTTCATACTTAAATAAAAATGAAAACGAGGGGGGTAATAAACAATGGGCATGGACCTGCATTATCCGAGTCACCTGACGGTTTTGTCATCACATAACCAACTTTAAATGGAAGTCATTAGACATTAAGAAATAAACATCGTATAATTTTAGTTCAATCGATATTTGTCATACATTGAATTTGTTACATATATTATTTATTTAACTCATTATTATATTATTACATCAATGTTATTTTCACATATTAGCATTATCAATCACTATAATCAGTGTAACGAACGATATTTTTTTTTTTAAAAAAAAATTGATTTCCCTGTAAAATGGAGTTGTTACTTTAATTTTTTTTTTTTTAAGGATATAAGGGGGTTCAGGTTGTGCCCTATATCGTGATAAATTGTAAATCAACCGAGCAAAAAATAAATTTGAATCTTTAAAAAAAAAAATTTTTTTTTTGCTACTCACCTGTTACAAATCTTTACTTTCAGTGAATTAAGGGAAAGAAAATCCATTAAAGAATTGATCTAATGAAGGGTCGTCCACAACTTGCGGAGGAAGATTCTCAACTCGATCTAATATGTCTTGATTAATAAAGAATCGGAGACGTCTTCGATATGCTCTGTTTGCGCGCCGTCTTCTTTGTTGATTCTGTCTTCTTCTTATATTAAACATATTTGACAAAATAAGTGAGAAATGAAATGCTACGTGAGAAATGGAACTTTACGATGGGTATTTATCGGTCATAAGTAACACAAATAAATGCTAAAAATGGATAGTCGTTAAATAAAATGAAAGAAAGCATGCTCTTATTATTCATTTTGCGAAGTATAACGACTAGCTTAATGGAAAGCGATTACATCTTATGCATTTTTATTTATCAAATATTCTATCAGCTGGTCTTCTATAAACAAGGAGCCAATCTATACTAAAAGAAAAAAATGAATATTAACGCCCACACGATCTTTTCAGATATTGTAGTCATAAACTTTTAAAATTCTCAAAAGATGTTCAGTATGCTTTCCTTTAATTTGTATATTCAAATATAAATATTTTTCAAGTATAAAAATTTTTTTTTCTTTAGCTACTATGGAATTAATTCCGTTTATCCGTTCCGTTTTTCATAAAAAAATAAATTAATTACTTATATTAAAGATTTCTTATAATAAGAACCTTTCCTACTTAATGCATTTATTATATGAATTTAACAATGAATTCAATTTATTTCTTTATTATTTAGCCCATTTTAATCAAAACTCCAACTTTTATTACTTGCATGTGTATAAATAAATAGTAATAAACATAAAGCTAACAATAATAGCAATCAATAAAGAAAGAATTGTTCATCAAAGCAAATACAACGATTTTTTTTTATGTACTATATGTACTTAATCATATGGCACGGTTTGTGATTATCTAAGACATCACTAATAAATATAAAAATGTTCTATATAACCTTCTTTTTCTATGGCGCGAATGTTTTGTTGTACGGAAAAGGTATCATCAAAAGACAATTTGTTTAAAGTTACACAAGTTTATTTTAACTTAGAATTATTAGTTAGGGGCCTCGCCGAAATATTTTTTGGAATCATTTCACATGAATTCCTCATATCCGTTGTTTTACTTTATTTTTGAGACATCATAAAAATCAGCTGCTTTACAAATAATGATTTTCAAAGCTTTTCGCCTATTCCAACAGATTTATTTATAAAATTACTCTTTGAAGGCACGACTTAAAACTTTTAGAATATTCGGCAATGAAAATGGCTGTTAATGAAAAAGAGATCAATTTTCTTATTACCCTTTTTTCTTTCAACAGAATATTTATTAATTTTGAAATCAGGAAAGATTTCAACAAAGAACTTTTTTATTTTTTTTTTAAAAAAAAAAAACATGTTAGTCTTGTCTATATTGTATATTAATTAACTCGAAGAACAATCAAATTTGTCATTTGAAATTTTTTTTTGGAATGTTCTAAGCTTCAAGGTTTTCTTTCGAGTAGATTTGTTCCATGCATGAACTGTTAAAGGATTCTTTTCTGTATGACTTCCGACTTCCCTTTTTGAAGTAGCGCGATAATACAAATTATTTTGTGTACGAAATTAATAAGTATTAGTAATATGTAACGGAACACCTGCATCTATGAATCCTAAAACGGACGATTTATATTTGTTATAAAATTGATTTAATAATGATGGAAAAGCTTTAATTGAGATCATTTTTTTTATTACTAATAGAATTCGGGAAATTGGAATCATACGATTATGATAAATAGTATAATGAAGGAAAAAATTTTTTCTATTGTTCATTTTCTGGGTTTATGCAAAAAGTAACTTACACAAACTACTAACTACTTCATCAATTATATATATAAAAAACGAATTTATTTGAAATAAATGATTTGCATGCGTAAAATTAAAATATTCATGTGAAATAAACGCACGTTAAAATTTATGCGCATCAGCTATGAACGAAAATTTGGAGATTTCATCTATCAAATTGGGATTCATTATCATCAATTAAACTCTATGTAGAAATCATTAAACTTTATTTGTTTAAGTTTTAAAAAAAAATTTCGTTCTTTTTTTTTTTTTTTTTTTTTTTTGAATACAACCATTTTCGTGATTACAGACATCTGCAATTAATTTAGGAGATTTCTAAACAGGTATTTAGATGATTATTTATGTTAGAAAATTTATTTCATGTAATGATCTATTTATATTTATGTTTCATCCTTAATTAAGGTTTTATTTCATGGCCAATGGTATTGTTGACATATATAACAATAGAAATAATAATACCTTTCCTAAATAAAAAACGATTGTCTCCGCAATTAATTCTCCGAATCATCATGGGTAACGTGACAAGGAATAGATCGATAGATTATATGCATTATTATGGACCAATATATAAGAAATTATAAATTATATCGTTGTTGCATAATATATTGTTTACGCACATATGTTTAAATATAAAAATAAATGCATTACCTTTCTGAATTATAATTTTTATATTAATTATATTATAAAAATATATAATTAATAATTTTAAATTCAATTTTTACTTAAATTAACAATTTTAAATTAATATAAATTTTTTCATTTTTTTTCCTTTTGTTTCGTAATACTATATCGCATTCAATAGATATAAATTATAAATATATTCTATTAAATTACCGAATGATAGACATTAATGACTCTATAACTATACATATTTCGATGTTTTTTTAAAGTACCTATAGTACCTATAGTTAGTTGGAACTTTATATAGGCCAAGCTAAAATGTATATAGTTAAAACATAATTATATCTTACTTAACATATTTTGATTATAAATATATATATATGGGAGGCGGTCATTAGAAAAGGGGGAAATCTAAATTTTGGTCAAAATTTATATTATTAGACCACTTGGCTAATCTCGATCATGTTCACAAATTTGGCTTAATAATAAAAATTAACAAATATTTTGGATTTCTCCCTTTTCGACTGACCGCCTCACATATAGTACAACTCTAATTATTATATATATTTATTGTATCTATCGGATGTTTAGAACTTTAAAATTAAAATTCCAAAAATGGATTAAAATAAAAAGTTTTGATTTTTTAGTGTCCGGTGTTAGTGGTGTTAGTCTCGAAAATGTCTGACGATCAAAAACTGCGTCTAAAATCGTATGTAGTAGATAGCATGATAGCATGAATAGTATAGATAGCATATATAGCGATTATGATAAATTTTTGGGGTTTTAGCCAATTTCTATTATTTCATTGTTTTATTTTTGTTATTTTATATTTATCATTTATATTATTTGTATTATTCATTATTATGAAAATGCGTAGTTTAAATTTAGTATATATATGCTGGAAAAATTAATTATAAAAAAGAAATATAGTCCGATCGTTGTAAAGTCTTGGTGATAGACTTACGGACTTCCAAATAATAAAACACCTTTTACACTTTCAAACCTTCCTCTTGTCTCCACATAGGCTCTGCTTGTGATAACCAATTTACACAATTGAATCGTAAAATAAAGTCATTAGAAATATATTCCAGGATAAAAGGGATTCCAGAATATCGAATTACATGCATCGTTCGTTACCTTGGTTTCGGTACAATCCCAGGGTTAACACCGGTCATTGATGCGTAATATTTTAATTAAGGAAGCTCAAAAATCAACCAATTAAGTTGATATTTCTAATATCATGTAAAGTCTTTCTTGTCACTATATAAAAACCACATTTTATAATTTTCATGTTCACTTTGATGATAAAATAGAACGAATAAATCAAACTAAAGTCGACCAATTGATTCCCATAAAGTCAAAATAATTTTATATTACTTTGGGAATATATTCACCAAATTGTTCCACAATGTTTATAATATTTTATATATTTTTTTTTATAATAATTCATGTAGATATAAATGTCTTAACCGTATAAATTAGCATAATGGACATTCGTTATATCACCTGGTGATAAAATCAAATGTCGATCTATTTTATATTGTGTAACATTCGATGTCAATCGATTTAAAGTAGTAAAAAAAAGATGCGATTTTTTTTCAAAATCTAATTTATCATTATGCAGTTTTTTTTGCATTAATATGTCATTCGTTCTTTTCTTTACATTTGGGTAAAAAATGATCTGGTGATCTTTGCTCTAGCGAAATTTAGTTGAGAGCCAAAGTTTTAAGGTTTTATTAATTAATATATGTATATTAAAATATATTTTACCAAGTTTTTATAAATTCTAAAGCCTTT